ACACATGGAGAAGGTGTGTAAAGGTAGCCTTCCATACTCCAAGTTCAAACTCATGTAGTAGATCTGGCACAAACATGGAGAAAAAATTGACCCCAAATTGTGAGAATCAAGTTGAGAAGGCATTCTAAAGTATTCAAAGGCAATTACAAGTTATCACATAGTTTGGGCAGGCTTGAAAACTTACTACTGTTGGAACAAGTGACTCCAGCATTAGCAAGTGCTTTACTGCTGCACTTGCTATGTTCAAATCCTTTACAAAGAGCCACTCCCACACTTTCTTCACCACAAACCAAAATCTGTTGTTGTCAACATGTGCCCTTTTAGAGCGAAGATTTTGATCAGCCTTTGTCCCAAGCATTGAAATTTCATCTTTCTTGATGAGGCAACAAGGACATGGGCATCCTCCCAGAAACTTGAGGCATGCAAGAAGTACCCTGTTGGTGAGATGAGATACATATTGGCAAAGCACAGCACGAACTTACTTTTCAGGGTAGTCAGCTGAGTATGTGAAGATGCATGGAAAAACACACCTCAGAATCCCATCAGCAAACTCGACTACCAGCCCAAACTGATAGGCATGCATGAAATCATCGTCCAGAAGCAGTAACCATATTGCTTGCATTATCTCATGTTGGCATAGGGTGAGAATCTCCAAAGTTGCAGCCTTGTTAAACACTTGGTAATAAAAATCTTGGAGAGTGTCAGGCAACTATACAAGTAATGTTAATAATAATAATAATAATAATAACAATAAATGAACCAGTAGGAAAAATAGTGAGGACAAACCTTTGGAATGTAAGCAAGGTGGTGTGTGGCAAATGATGTTGTCCTGCCTTGTATATATTTTGACTGATTTCCAAGATACATGTAGATTGGCCAAAGAGATGCAGTGCCAAAGTTCACAAGGTGTGTTGAATCCGACCAGAACATAATTGCTGCAACTACAGTTTCCAGAGTACACCCAGTTGCACGTGATTGCTCCTGGACTCTGTGGTGTTCCTTGACCATTGCATCCGAGTTGTAGATCTCTGAGTAGATGCGCTGTGTTGGTAGTTCACAGGAGTCGATATCAGTGGCATATGTGTGAAATGGGGACAAATGGAATTGTTCTGCTGACATCTCACAAAGTGCTGACTGGAGAACCTCGAGTGGCTTGCAATAAAAGAGGCCTGGTATGTTGAATAGGGGTGCCTCGTCTTCAGATGCATGTAAAATGCCATCTGCTGGTAGTCGTATTTGTACAGTAGTTTCTTTCCATCCAGCCGCTGCCAAGAAAGCAGATTCAAGATCATTGGGGTCACCCTGGTGTTCATCAATCCTTTCTACTTCTTTTACAGCTCAGAAACCCTCTAGATCAGCTCTGTCAAAATCCGGGGCAAGGATTACATCATGCACAAGGCGATCAAGATCTGCAAGTGACTTCACATTAGTCCCATTATAAAACCAACTTATCAGCCAGAATACAGTTGCATTGAGGAATGGTGCAAAATAGTCAGTTTGGACAGAGCGCAATGATGAGCCAAATCCAGACCACCATGATGCAACTCGGTGTTGCTGGTCTTGAGGGAGTGGGAAAGTTGGTGCATCTGAAAGGTGATTGATGTCGGCAATGCCATCAGGGTCATAAGTAGGCAGATTCGGTCCGAAGTATGTGCGGTAAACTCCATAATGGTCTGGTTCAGTGGTGATATGGCTCTCCAAAGGTGTTTGAGGGGACCCATTCTCAGTCTCCATGTCAAGCACAATGTCATGATCTTCTTCAACAGGCCTGGGGGATTTGGCTGCTGCGACTGCTATGGCAGCAGTGCTTTGAATCGGGGGTAGATCATCACGAAACCTCTTTGGTAAGCAACGCCGACGGTTGGGCAACCCAGAAACCCGGTACTCGGGTGACAAGGGTTCGGCAGGCACGACATCTGCCACATCCTGACACCATACATATGTAAGATAATACTGTGTTTCGAATTAAGTATTGAGAGGTGCCTTACTATGGTTACTACATCATCACTAATCGTTTCATTTGCCAGCTCCATGTGTTTAGCCTGTTCCTTCTGCAGTGCCTGGTTTGCTTGATGGGCAGTACATCCCTCCTTCCGCCTTGAAAGGATAGACTTTGCTGCCTGCGATATCTTGAATTTACAGGCTCGTTTGTGATTACAAAGGGCAGTCCTGTTCTTGAATGAACGATTACATCCTACACATGCAAAAGCAGCCATTATAGCAAAGAATACAAGGAACACACGCTGCGTGAGCATGGACCATGCAGATACAATCTACTGCAACTTGTTGCAATGTAATACAATCAATGGTGGAATCGGGGCAGTGGGCGCTAGGAGTAAAGGCGGGGGTGTGAATTTAGTCTCCGCTTGAAATGCAGCTTCACCATGTAGTGCGGCTCATTTCATATTCCCCTATCACCATCATGCCTGGAGGCGTCATGTTCAACAATTCCTTTCAAAAGTTGCTTGATAGTCTGTCTAACCCAAGGCAATAGAGGTACATTCATTGTGTTTATATGAGCATAGGACTCCCCAGCTGATGACTTTCAGAGATGCAATGTCACCATTTGCATCTGCTGCGTTTTTCTTCCCTATGAGTATGGACCCCTTCGTGGATTTTGAACGAGTGCTCTGGGATGGGATCCAGAATGAGTTTCCAGATCCACTTGAGGAGCCAGATGAGGATTCCACTGCATACACGTATGACTAATGCCCTGCTTGTGACGCACTGCACTGACATTGTTTGCATTTGGCAGTCAGAATGAGAAAGACTATCATATCGCACTTTATCAGAATTTCATCTCGCATATTGATAATGGAAGTGAGCTTGTTTCAGGCTTTGAACATGAGCGCGACTCACTTTCTACTTTCATCGATGAGGTAGGTGCATATATGCACTTGACATGTCTCAAACTCACTAATTTTCATCCAGCTTGTCGCTGCTGCTGCTCGGTCGCGAACAAATGACACAGGAAGCCTCAAGTGGGACGTGCTGACATATATGCTTGAGGACCCCATGACTCAGTCTGTGAAGCCACCAATCCGGAAGGGTGACCCCAAGTCAACCCGTGGATGGAACCATCCTCTTACTGCACGGAACCTCTGCCCGATTGTACACCTGGAAGAGTTTGATAGAAACCCTCAGTATGTCTACCTTAACTTCGTTTCCTTCTGCTCATGCAGTGCATATGATCAGACTATTCATGAACCAGGTTCACGATCGGACATGAAAAATCACACATCGCAAGTTTCCAGCTTGCCTCTACGACGTGAAAATGTTTGACCCAAACAACAAGAAGAAAGGGTTTCTCCGAAGCCAAGGTTTAGTACGGGTACGTATTCATGTGAACTTGAAAATTGTGTGCGAGCTTGGCTGAAGTCTTTACTGGTAGACCTTTCGTCACATTTTCACAAGTCCATCATCTGCACTGGACCCAACTCGCAGAGGCACGAAAACCCCGCAAGGTGTAGCACACGGCCTGCCTGACCCGACACCTCGCACAATTGCGTACGCTGCGATACAGGTCACCTTATGGAGTTACGGCTCTTATTCTCTCTGTCTGCTAACTCTTGTTTCTCAGTACTACTTCGCGCTCAGCTCCGCCGAGCAGCGGACATCTGCAATTGGAGGTGTTGACCTTTATGAACTCTTTCTCAAGATTGTCAAGGTCTTGGAAGATCAACCAGATCATCCATGGACCCAAGAGACGCTTCACTGGTGGAATAAGTATGTACTTCATCAGAGTGTTATCACGGTCAACTAGGTTTACTCGCATTTGAAGGCAGGTGCCTGGCCTCAGCCAAACTTCCAAGCGAAGGCGACCAATCTCAGCAGCAAACTCGGATGACTCATCAGAGGATGACGACATGGACTCTTTCCTTGACTCCCCGGTTGCGGGTCGCCAATCTCGTTGTACCGAAGAACGTGTGCAGCACTCAATTGACAGTCGCAACGGGCCTCAGGTTACCATGTCTCCCATACCCATGGTTCATGTATCTCGCCATGATGAAGGTACTCTGCCACCCAAGAACAGCAGCGCCAAGGTAGCAGTACTTGCAACATTCTGCTTCGGATCAATCCATTGGCTTACCATGATCTGCAGATCCAACCAAGCTTGGGAGATGATGCCCATTCAGTGCCACAACATAACGACTTCGATCCACCTGACCATCACACCAGCTTCCATCCCAGATCACCTCCAGGGCCTAGGCCCGGTCACAGAAATTTTCACCATGACCCAAGTAATGAATGCGAGACCGTTGGGAGCCCACTGACGGATCCTGAAGCTACTGAGACCATACGAAAGGACCCCACTCTAGAGCCCACTACGACCACGAAGAAATCTCAAGGTGGCAGTGCTGGTCAGCGCTCGAAGAACAAGGCTGAGCCACCACGTAAGCGTGTCAAGCACAAGTAGTCCCAACACTGCCTTCATTTCCCCTACTTTATTGTTCGAATGCTTCCCTCTTATACCTTGTCATCGTTTATTCCTGTAACTGGTGCGTGGCTGCTCATTTCGGGATGCATTGAATGTTGTACTAGCGTTGTCGGCTTCTAACTTGCTCTCAGTGGACTGCATCATCATGTAATGTATACCATGCAATAGAAGTCATTGCATTCATATGAAATCCAGTGGAACGTGTAATAAAGTATGGCGAGGAATACAATTCAACATACTAAAATGCATCGAATGGCACCGAGATACATGGCTATAAAATATCATGTGCCAATGGATGGGTTGCGACCCTTATCCACATTGTATTTGGCCGCTTGTTATAGTGCAATACATAGTTGTATATAACGGAGACAGCACTATGTATCAGTTGTACTGAATTTTAGGACATTGCAGTAAGTTTTACGACCTTATATTATGCGAGTGGATTTGTTGATGCATAAACTGCACAAGTCGCGTCGTCACGTGCGGGTTACATGTTCCATTTTTGGAACCGCACACTATTCTCGGCTTGGGCTTGTCGGAAGGAAATATTATTATAGGGTCACCATCGTGTACAGTTGCATGATACTTTCCATACTATTGGGTTCTTACACTCGGTTGTTGCTGCATGCTAAAAACCAGAGATTCTGCAGCCAATCGAGTCGAGGACTCAAAAGTGGGACCGAGATTACGTACGTATTAGTACGGAGGTGGCTGCCACCGGCTTCAGTTGACCCACTACTCGATGAGCTCTTTCATTACGCTTCCACCTGGGGCTACTCCGATCGTTGACGCGGACGAGGAGGTGGGGAGCCCGCATTTCCCCAACTGCAGGTGCTCGACTGTCACTCTTCTTAGGTTTTCCTCCTGTATACGAGTCTCAATCGGGCATGCACGAAGCTGACTGGTCCTGATGGTTATCGCGGACTTGGTCACGTTGATTCTCGAAAAGACACCCTTACCATTCATCTTGGATTGTTCGAAGACGCCACCGAAATGTCCAAGGACCAACAGTTGTGCAATATCTCACAATCACCAAAGTCAAAACAAAAGCGCTCGAAGAAATCAATTGACATCGAGATTGAGATCGCTCAGGACAAGACTGCCCTGCGTAGCAGAAGAGGCGACACTGGCAGCGTCGTCTGGAGGGCCAGGTTAGTTGTCTTTTGACTTGTCATACACTCGTGTACGAGATTACTTAAACCCGGTGAAGTGTCGAATTTTGCAGAACAGTCCTTCATCAGTATTTCTTCCCATCCGGAAGTACAATATTCGATTACCGCAGGCTATCCGAATGCAACTGCCTTGAACTCGGGTGTGTTCTAGAATGCTTACCCATTGCAGCGATGTCTCATTAGCAGCAGTGCGGGGACAGGGTTGCTTGGGATTGCCCTTTCTCCCCTGTTCCGAGCATATACAGCAACCGACATTGCTGCATTACTCCCGCTCATCCGGAAGAACGTAACATTAAATTCCCGTCCAAACTACGGGGCTGTTGGATCGCAATGCACAGATCTCATCGTGGAAGAGTTGGATTGGTTGACCCTCGCATCTCTGCCTTCAGGTCCTTCCCGGATACGCTACTGCCCACTTCCAGGTCCAAGTTCAACGCTAAACAAGGACAATACCTGGGATTTGATCTTAGCGGCAGACTGTATCTACCATCCCTCCCTTCTCCGCCCCTTCGTTGACACGATTGAGGCCCTCGCAACTCCTGGTCGAACTTGGGTAATCGTTGTGGTTGAACTGCGGCAAGAAGACGTCATTCGGGAATTTCTCAACTTGTGGTTGACCTTGGGGAATTGGGAGATCACGCGAGTAGAGGGCTTCCTAGATGAAAACTACGCCATTTGGGCCGGTCATAGAAACTCACCCACGCCCACTGTGTAGGGTGCAATTCTCTCAGTTGCTCGTGACTGCATAGCATCCATTCAGTGGGGGTTCACTTCTCATTGGCAGTAGACGATGGCGTCGTAATTATGAAGTGGCGCTGACTGCCACAGTCTATCGTTTTGGTGTGTACTGTATTCCCACTAGATTGTGAATCATCTCATTCGACCGTGGGTCTTGGCGACCGGCGTGGTTGCCATGACTGTCACCCGCGATGCCCGAAGTGATGCTAAATACACATCTGTGCAAAATAAATCGGAACACTTGATTGACGAACCATTCTCTGTTGCAGAGCCCGCTCCGCAGTTGTAACAACTGCGAATCTCACATGGCCTATGCCCACTTAAGGATGCCGGTGTCTCGTGAGGATCCTTCAGGATCATTGCTTTTACTTAGGTGGGCCAGGTAGCAGTGGTAGTGCCAAAGAGGAACTTGCAGCAGATTGACGGTCCGGGACTTTGCAACGGCTGTTCTGTGCGACTTTTCATGTGCTTGTCCACCGGTGCCAGTGAAGCTTGGAAAGCCAAATCTCGCGGCCACCCCGCGTGTGCCACGAGGAATGTATGACTAATCAAATTCCCGGTGAACAAACACATGATACGTCACCTAACCGGCTATGAAAAGCCGCCCGTGGGATGTCCCCAGCATCAGTTACCAGCTCACCAACGATGTCGCCCTCGTCAAGTGCAAAGGCAAGAATTCTCGTTAAGGACGACAACGATGTGGTTATCGTCGCTGCTGTCCGTTCCGCTCTCACCAAGGTGGGTCCTACACTCGAAGCCATGTGCATGCACTAGTTAACTCCATTGCAGAGCAGGAAGGGTGGCTTCAAGGACACGCGTCCTGAGGAGATCTTGTCTGGTGTGCTGAGAGCAGCCTACACCAGGGCTCGCCTGAATCCAGCTCTCATCGAGGAAATTGCCGTCGGTAACGTCCTTCCCCCCGGTGGAGGTGCTAGTGCCGCCCGCATGGCCGCGTTGCATTGCGGCATCCCCCACACTACGCCACTCAACACTGTGAACAGGCAATGCTCTTCCGGCCTCGCCGCTGTAAACCAGGTTGCCAACGAAATCATTGCCGGCCAAATTTCTATCGGAATTGGTAAATGACGTGCACACATTTGTCTATCGCAGCAGCTCATTCTTTTCCAGGTGCTGGCGTTGAATCCATGACATTCGGATGGGGTAGTGGATCCCTACCTGATGGTTGGTCAGAGGCTGTTCTCACCAACAAGGAAGCCGAGGATTGTCTCATTCCCATGGGTATAACCTCGGAGAATGTCGCCACAGAATTCGGCATCTCGCGGGAGAGGCAAGATGAGTTCGCTGCTCAGTCTTTCCAGAAGGCTGCAGCAGCTCAGAAAGCCGGAAAATTCAAGGACGAGATCGTCCCTCTCAAAGTTAAAATCACCGACCCAAAGACTGAGAAGGAAGTAGAGATTGTAGTGGACGCAGATGACGGGATACGTGACGGCGTCACTCCCGCGAGCCTTGCTAAATTGAAACCTTCGTTCAAGAAGGATGGTTCAACACATGCTGGTAGGTCAAAGATACGACTCCTACCTGTCTTCTGTTCATGTCCTATTTAGGTAATGCTTCGCAGGTGTCGGATGGCGCAGCAGCGGTCGTATTAGCACGTAGATCTGTTGCCAGACGTCTTGGACTTCCAATCCTTGGCAAGTACGTCGCGGCTGTTGCGACTGGTGTTCCGCCTCGGATCATGGGTGTGGGCCCTGCATATGCAATTCCTAAGGTTCTTGAGAAAACCGGTCTATCCAAGGAAGACGTCGACTTCTACGAGATCAACGAGGCTTTTGCGTCGCAAGCTATTTACTCTGTAGAGAAGATTGGCATCCCGTTCGACAAGGTGAACATCAACGGTGGAGCTATAGCCTTTGGACACCCACTTGGATGCAGTACGTACATTTTCTTTTTGCCATGGATGTTGAAACCCACCTTATCGATCTTGCAGCCGGGGCACGTCAAATCGCTACGGGTCTCAGCATCTCCAGACAGAGGAATGAGAGAGTGTTTGTTACTAGTATGTGCATTGGCTCCGGGATGGGCATGGCGGCCGTTTTCGTCAGCGAGCATTGATGTATTCCACTTGTAATAATTCGAAGTATAGTGTGATAATGTAATCCAGAGTCTTGGTGACGCAACACTACAGGACCCACTGAAGTAAAGTACCAGTCTGGTATACAACAGTGAAGTTGGTGTTACATACCAACGTTTCTCTGTCAAACGGGCCACTACGTTCAAAGACCCTGGGTCCAATTTCTGACCTTCCCCGGAAGGTTGGACCATAGTACGCTTCGGGACAGAGTAAACGCTTTCTATCATGATTGCACTCTGAAAATCCCCGGACGCTTCTGGTTCTCTTATATAACCGGATCAGTAAGGACAGATTTGCCAGCGATCATTTTACCTGTCGTCCACTAGTGTACGACGTCCAGCCACCGGGTCATACCCCCACACCAACGTGGCCGAATGACCGGCTGACCTGGGAAGCGCTAGCCCCGAGGTCAAGTCGGAAGGATAGAGGGTGAATACAGAAACCGACCGAAAAACACTACGGAAGAGCTGGATACATGCTACCGATGACAAGCATACCTACACAGATGGGGGGTTCCCTGAGAGGTATAGAGAGGTGAGCCTTCCAGAAGAAGAGCGTCGACGCAGGACCGGGTCGCGATCCCCGAAGCCGTAAATGAAATCAAGCAATAATCATTGAATATCGGATTCCTGAGTAAATTATGTTGCAGCTCAACCCCTTAGCGTCGGAGGATGGCCAACGGTATTCAAATACACGGGAACATGGAATGCGCTGCACAGTGGCGCTTAGTTGCAGGGGTGGGATGTCAGGCTGTGCAAACGGAGAGTTGGGTGTGCGATGTGGTAACGTCCATCGTCGGGACCTGGGCAAGACAGCAACGGTTCGCACGCATCAGTGTCCCAGGTATTATGCATAGGCTCTGCGGGTATTCAAAAAAAAAAAAAAGTTTCCTCCGACCTCCCCGTAAACCCCCTTACTCCAGACGCTAATCAACATTTAAACCAAGTGGACACACGAACATGTGTAACGCGTTCCGCTGCGTGCTGTATGGCGATGTCTTCAGCCCAGCCGACCGCAGTTTGTTGGTCAGCCATTAACTTCACCTGACGCAAGCGCCTAGAGAAACGAATGCGGGACCCGCCGCAAGCAATGATGTTTATAGCATATTGCTGTAATGGACAATAAACGGTATGGTCAGAAGTAATGGACCCACTGATTATGAAAAGCCTGTCCCACCGCAGAAAATTAGTTGTGCAGGGAATACGGCATTCTCGAGATGATCTTTCCCCCTTCCGATATTGGTGGAACCGGAGGGCGCAGATACTGACCAAGAACGTGTTCATACGAAATGCCCACGAGGTTTGTTGGTAGATGTTAATGGTATGGTCAACGGTAATAACCGGGTGACTAGTGCCATCAGTAACAGCAATCATGTATCTGTCACTGTACAACCGCCACACTGCAAGTGTGTTGAAATGGATCAGCAATATAACCCGTATTGGGGCCAGAGTGTATCAGGCCAATACCACCAGCAAATACCAGTACGTCATATTTCCCTTCGTAGTACCAACTCCATCAAAACGTCTGGTGGACATAGCCAATGATCTGTCAACAAATATCGAAAACGACCCAACCTCCAACATCTTCACCTAATTCTTCCATCTAACACACATTGAATCCAGTGGGGGGAACACAAATCGGAAATGAAATGCGCACATTTTTAAAGTCCTGTCGCGGCCGCCGCTCACAATTTTGTCAGCAACGAAGTCGACGCAATACACCTCATCGAGGTGCCCAGGCAGATCGACCTTCAACTTGTATGTTTTAAGGTCCCATATCTTGTAATCAGATCAGCAGATACTGTCGACCAGTGCATAAAGGGCTTACTTTGACAGTAGCGTCCTTGCTAGCACTTACTACCATGCGGGAATCGGCACTCCATGTAAGCCGATACACTGGACCAACATGGCCCCTGAGAGTGGCAACAAATTTGCCTAAATTCCCAGAGCCTGGGGATAATTAGTAAACATCGTGATATGTCAGCAAGTGACAGCCTCCAAACCGTACCTTCGCTACCTGAACAATCCCACAATCGTATAGCACTGTCCCATCCAGCGCTTGCCGCCCACCGCCCATCGGGCGAGAACGCGACATGGGATACCTGGCGTTGGTGTCCAGTCAGCCGAGTCACAGGCTTTGGTTTTCCACCTCCACCCGCAGAGGTGGAACCTGACGAGAAGAGGGACCACAAGAAAAGGGTGTGGTCATCAGACCCTGATATCAAGAGCTCAGGTGTGTGATTAACAAGCCGTTCGTATCTTTTGAGCGCCAGGTCCCGAGCTGTGGAGGTTATAAGCCAACTGTCAGACTGAAACGATCAACATGTACCATCTTCGTTGGATGCGGGCTTTTTGCCAGTGTGATCGAAGGGCCCAGTTCGAAGCACGAAGTCGGTGTTCAGAGCGAGTGTAGTAACCCAATGTGCATGGTCCTTAAGGACCATGAGTTGCTTACCCTGAATAAAGTGAGCAGTGACTTAAGTGCAGGTATCCTAGGGCTTACTCCGTGTGGGTCCCACACTCTCACCGTCCGATCGCTACTTGCTGTGTATAGTACGCCCTTCCCTCCCTTCCCTCCACCACCCCATTTTACAACATTAACACTGGCCGTGTGGCCTCCAAGCGCATACTCCAATTTACGTGTCAGGATAGACCACACTCGTACTGTTCCATCCTTGGAGGAGGATGCGAGCCGAGGTGCAGAAGGATTCCTGTACAGGCGAATGGTCACAGTCAAAAAATCCGTAATAATAGACTGTTTCCCTCACAAATGCAAAGGCTCCCATGCCAGCGACGTCACCCACTTTGTATGACCCTTCATGGCCTCACCTATTGGTTTTCCTGTCCTGGGGTCCCATAGCCTGACCTGCCCGTCATGGCCGCCGCTAGCGAGTTTCCGCTCAAGCGGGTCCCACTCGACACAAAGTACCCATCCAGTATGACCGACAAGTGTGTGAAAAGGCATCTCGGTATTGAGATCCCATAGTCGGACATGGGTATCGCCAGATCCGGTCGCGAGGAGAGCACCGGTGGGAGAAAAGGAAGCGCACAGAATTGGCGATGAATGTCCTGTGTGACAGCATAAACCCGGTCATGATCGAATGTATCTCAGCTGTGATTACTGTGGTCTCCTGTGACATACCGGATAATGTGCTGGAACACCGAGTTGCGGGCCTCACTTTAAACACAGATTGAGGGGCACATCTTACGACAAGAATGTCTTCCTCGGAAAACGCAAGCGAAGGGTGACCAAGCACGTCGGCCTCTATAGATTTCGAGATGACGATACGCGTGGGTGCGTCGCCTTTGGAAGCATCTGCAGGCAATGCCACATGAAATGCGTACGGCACATGTTCGTCGTCATCCTGTGTGATGGATGTGTGACAGGTAGCTGCGGAACGTTTCTACAAGATAACACACTTACCTTGGTGCGAAGTTGGTTCACTAATGCTTCCAAACTCTCCCGTGCTACATTAGCCGGTAGGTTGACTGCAGGCGCAATTGGAGCTCCGTCATCCTCGTTTACAAACTGGACAATGACGTTGGGCGATGGCTTTGGGGGTTCTTGTGGTGGTTCGGGGACACCATGGTAGACTTTTTGTCGCTTCACCGGAGGGAGAACGGCAGCCATAGTCAATACAACTCTATCCCAAGAGAGAGCTGGCGAAAAGTTCTGTGTGCTTGAATAAGACAAACACCAATCTGGGAAAAATAGCCCCTGACTTTGTTGATCAGTGATATCCTGACTCAGGGGGATGGATGGATGTCCACAATCACCAATTGCACATCCGAGAAAGTCCGTGATTGTGCTACGGGTACTGTAGAATTAGCCATCCCTGCCCTGCCGGCGTCTTAATCACGCATAATCTGATCCAATGAGAAGCTGTGCCGCCAACCAATATGGTGCACTGCACTGCGATGCGCCCCCTTATACCTACCTTATGCGCTTGATCCGTGAGTCTTGCAGTGGTTAACAGTTGGCATACCTCCGGGAGAGTACAGTCACTGTGGATTACGACAGAAAGATAGCAGTGCACGTCGAGCTGTCGAGCTGTGAATGGATCCTTTGTGTCTTCGAGTATAAAGCATTGCCAGTGATGCTTGTCCACAATGGATCCCCCGCATCTAGCACAAGAAAACCCGTCCCTCCGGTTCTGCCTCTAAAATCAATCGACAAAGCACATCGTCTCTGACTAGGGTTAGGGTTACGGATTATATATTGTTTGGTCAAAGTCTTTGTTTGGCCCTGACTCCGGGCTGCTCGCTGCTTGCAGGCGCCGTCAGTTCTTCATCCACGCTACACACCCGTCACTTCCTCGTCCTCGTCGTTTTCTTCGTAATGGCAAGCAAGGCAGCCCAGAAGCGGGTAAGAACATAGATCGTGTAAAAATCGCCCTCCTGATTCGTTGTTTTGTCCGCAGCTTAGCAAGGAATACATCAACATGCAACGGGAGCCGCCGCCATTCGTTTGGGCCGCACCGGATGAAAAGAACATTCTCACATGTAAGTTTACCCTTGTTTATGTGCCTGTATTCCCTCTGACATGCCTACGCCAGGGAACTACCTTATCGTGAGTGTTATCAATGTAGCTATTCGATGCCACCATCTTTACCAAGTGTGGTCTTAGCGCGGGCCCCCAGATTCTCCCTACGCAGGTGGAGAATACCATGGAGTACTCCTGTTCCCCGCAGAATATCCTTTCAAACCCCCGGGCATCAAGGTTCGCACTCTTTTTATCTACTTAATTATTACGGTGATTCAACATGCACATCACTACAGATGTATACACCAAGTGGACGTTTCCAACCAGATAAGAAGATATGCTTCTCAATGTCTGATTTCCATCCTGGCACAGTAAGTTTATCTTTTGTTTTGACACGTGGGTTACAATGGTGTTTACTCCGGCGCCTTTCACAGTGGAATCCAGCTTGGAGTGTCGCTACAATGTAAGTGGAGATTCTGGTTGCCATTCGGCTTTCATGCCATCACCGGGGGAGCTGTCGTGATGGGTGCACCATAGCTGTGCTGGAAATTTTCAGTAAACCGGTGGCTGATCCCGAGCCGTATGATTTTCTGATGGGCTGACCCAGCGGTTCCTTGCAGATTGACCGGCCTTCTTTCTTTTATGCTGTCGGACGAGATGACCACAGGATCTGTGACGTCGTCAGATTCTCACAAACGCACTCTCGCTGCTAAGAGTCATTCCTTCAACCTCATTCAAGCGAGGTTCAGAGAAGCATTTCCAGATGTAAGTGACATCTGCCTCAATTTAACATAAACCTGTAACTCATGAATTGCTTTACTATGGCGTTTCTCATGATATTTGTATCCCGTCGCTACCTGCCTGGTAGTATTGTACTCCCACGCTCAAAGATCTTCCAAATATGGGAGAACAGGAGCGTGGCAAGCCTGACACACCATCAACCTCCACATTACAGCCTGCGAATGCTGCTCTGTCTCCTAACCCGTCTACCCTGGCAGTGCCTATGCCACAGCTGGTGTTAAGGCGAACGCCAGGCACCCCACTGCAGCTTGCCATGAATGCTGGACCTGCGATCCCCGAACTTCACAATCCCATCACGCACGCTAATAAACCACCTGTCCCTCAAGGTTGGGCAGCGTCTTGGCGCGAGGTAATATGGGAGAAATGGAGGTGGGGTGTTTTGATCGCACTTGCTGTAATTGTTTCGAAGATCTCTTCGGCGTATTGAAAGTTCACTGGCTGGATCCTTTCCTTTCTTCATCATCTTTCGTCACCCTACCAAGGTGTTAGTTGGGTTTTATACACCTTGAAGATCTTTCCTGTGTCAATAACAATGCCTTCCGCCCACTACACTCCCTATCCGTGTCAATGTTTGCCCCCAATCTCGTTCCTGTGGTCCATTCTTTTGAGTTCATGATATTTTACATAAAATCTATTTTGTAGTTTTTTTAGGTGTGGAAGATATGGAGGTGTTATAGAAACGCATGTCATGTTGTCAGATCTCTCTCCCAAAGTTTCCGGAGTGAAGACGCTACTCCTCTTGACAGTGGTTCTACAGCTCGCCAAATATCTCTGGCGACGAGATCTTTCTCTCTACTCGCATCGATCTCCACCCACTGTCCTTGACCGTCTGTCTTCATTTCTTCCCCAATCCGCTCGAATACCGCTCGAACGCCCCTTTGTACATGCTCCGTTTCATATCTCTCTTCCCCGTATCCGCCTCTTGCGCGAGCAACTCCTGGCTCGACATCGAGAAACAAGGTGAGATCAGGTGCTGGGAGGCCGATATCTGGTGCTCTGCACCAATCGTACGGAAGACCTTTGCGCGCCGAAAACGCGATTCCAGAGAATGCGTAGCGATCGGCGACTACAGTCGTTCCAGCTGCTAGATGCGCGTAGATCGTCGAGCTACGTGGGTTTTTATATATAAAATACCGGCACGCACGTTAGGTCCTGTACTGGTAAGCACTGGGTACAGGAAGAACCTACGCAAGCTCCCAGCGGTTGGCAGAGAACAGGAGATGGATGGCGTGGTCGTCGAACTCGGACTGTGAGCGTAGATAAGCATCGATCATCTTACCGATGGTTGTCGTCCGATCTGAGATATACGACCCAAGAATGCCGGGAACCGTTAGGTAGGCACAATATTGTTTTCGTTCAGGTAAGACAGTCGAGGACACAGCACGGAGGGGATTAAGCTTACCGGGAAACTTGATCAGCACGGCCTTAGTTGTAGACTGTTCGGGTCCTTGCAATCGATTTTGGAGGATAGCAGCTTGGGTGCTTTTACCGGACCTGTCTAACCCTTCGATGACAATAAAAGCACCTCGACTCGTGGCAGTCATGGTAGGGCAAAATACTCCTGGAAAAGACTCTGGGGTTGCTTGATGCCGGTGTAGTCACTAGTTAACGGTTAACTAGCCGTAGTCGTTGCTATATGATGGCGCTCCGGCGACTTAAGTCCCACTGATGCCATCAAATCACACTATCAAAGAGGTGCTAGCTTGGCAGGTGCTGACTTGCGTAGTTCTCGGGCGCGTATTCCGCAGTGTACCATCGTTCGGCGCAGATGGAATCAGTCAGAAACACCACGTTCTAAGTACCAGTGCGTTCCCATATTCATGCCGGCCACTAAAGTGGAGTTTTTGCACTAACTTCCTCCGAAAATCACTCCTGCACGGAATACAAATAACATACCGGACGAAGATTGGACGAACAAGTATATGTCTGACAACAGACTAATGATGGGTCTTGGATTACCGTCTTGATCGTCCGGGGCCGTTTCTGCTCTTTGTCGCTCGTTTTCGCTCTCTTTCTTCCTCCCGTGCCTTTGCACTGCGCTGCCGTGGGTCAATCACCTCGTAATCCCTTTCTGCCTTTCTCGATTCTTCCCCATCGTCTTTTGGGAATTGCAAAACGTGGCTCATGAACCCTCGATCATCGTCCACCTCCATTCCAGAGTCCTCTCCACCTTTCGTTGCAGGCACCTTCTCCTCACCTTTCTCACCGTCTGCGTCCTCGACCAGGTTCGAGTTCGCCGGTCCTGCAGCCTGCAGCATCCCTCTGAAGCTACTTAGAGCGGCCAGTACACCACCCTCATCTTTCTTTCTCCCGTCCTTGGCGTTCCTCCGTAACCCGCGACCCTTCGCATACTTGGAAAGCTCTTCCTCCAAATACGATTTCGGTTTCTTCTTCTTCTGCTGTTCGGCCTCCTCTTCACTATCATCGCCGCCTTCCCGCCGGCGCGTTAATCGACGAATCTCAGCCTCCATCTTCTCTATCTCGGAGCGCTGTGCGTCCCTGAGCATGATAAGAGGAAAGTGAGTTAGTTTTCAAAGAGAATAAGCAAGGACACCACGTCATACTTCTGAGATGCCTTTTCATGGCGATGTTGCTCCCGGATTTTGGTTACGTCAATGTCGGGCTGTTGTTTTGATTTCTCCTTCGGTCGATCCTATTGAAAGAAGATATCAAGCCACATAATACGTAGCAGGTTGGGGGTACCTCGTTACCTTGGACATAGCCTCTGGTTTCGATGACACATCTCGTTCTATAGGTGGAGCTTTCTTGGCCGGAGGTGATGGAGGGCGGAGTACATCCAGAGCCGGGAGCGTTGATAGAGAAGGATTGTCGATCACTACGGCGGCACCGATCAGATCGTGTCCAGTAGAAACGTAGGATGGTACCGACAGTCAGGCCGTGCTATATCCTTCTTCTTTCGTACTGCTGGTTCCGTGTCCTGGTCTGCTTCTTCGTCATCCGCAAAACTCAGAAGTTTCACGTTCCTACACACGCCAAAGCATGGTAAGCAACACAGTTCTTGTCAGCATTGTTGACAAGAACCTGCTTTTTAGCACCTCGACGGCGTTCGGCTTCTTCACGTTCCTTCTGAGCAGTTTCGCGTGCACGCCGTTGGGCGCGCTTCTCGGCTGCCGTAATACGTGGAACAATGTCGGGGAAGGGATTCTCGATAATGGTGATGGACTGGATCTTCGGAGGACTTTATGGGAAGCGAATGAAAACTAACCAGAGTGTACATACAACAGATTAACGCACTATAGCGGTCGCTCGTTTTCACCAAGCTCTGGTTAAGATGTAAGAAGCAAACTCAGGTCAAGGAGGATTGGAATTGCATTTACCCATTTCGCCGATCTTCAGGGCATCTGTTGTAGGTAAAGCAATTGGACAATGTACCAATACACGGATAGAGGGAAACGCGTACTGTAGAGCGTGTCGCCAACCACTCTCCCAAATAGTGTGTGCTTCCCATGTAATTCGTCCGCGCGATCTGCCCGCGAGTTTTGTCAGTAGTTTACAAGGACATGATCTTAACCGGCACTCACCGAGCGTGATGAAGAATTGAGAGTCGTTCGTGTTCTTCTTTCCGCTATTTGCCATGCCCACGAGACCACGGTGGGCGAACCGCAGCCGAGGGTGAATTTCATCCTCGAAAGGTTCTATCGGGGAAACTGTAAGTAGACAAAGACAAGGAGAAAGAGGATATCTCTGAATCACCTCCATAAAATGACTCTCCACCAGCACCTGTACCAGTCCTGTCACCCGTTTGTACGAGAAACCCCGGCACGACTCTTGAGTAGCAGTTCAGATGTATGTACGCAGTAGAAGAAAGCTTTTACCAGCACCTGTGGAAAATTACACCATCATAGTATCCTAAGTCGCCTTCGTATGAAAGCACACAGGTAAAGGCGCGAGGAACACACACCTTCAAGGGAGAGTGCAATGAAGTTCCGACAAGCTTTCGGGGTTTCCTGGCCAGTATTAGTTCCCGATGTAAATCAATTGTTCTCGAGGAGTGCGTACCTTGGACCATAATTCGATATCTATCTCTCCTGCCGTAGTGTGGATTAAGACACGTCCTTTCGTCGGGAGAGCCATTCAACTTGTATGAGTAGCGGTGGAACTTGTTCGATTACAGTTTATAATGGTAGCAGTATAACCCTAACCCTATTCTGATCATTCCCCTGGCTACATACTGTACTTCTGAATCTGCGCACAATCGGAATGTTCGCTCGACCTCGGATTTGACTAGGACTAAGGGCCACCCCCCAGTACTTCAAAGTCCAACGTAGTCTGGTCAAACAGGGGTGGCTCACCGTCACGGTACTCTTTGTATCACTTGTGAATTCGCCACTACAAACCGGCACCAATCACGGGGGCGATGCTCGGTACATAATTATCTTCACAAATTTGCGTCATGTCTATCAGCTGCTGACGGAGCACACACACGCGACACCGCATGACTCACAGGCGTCCAAGAAACACATAAGAATTGGAGGAGTCTACCCTATGTCACCATCATCCGAGCACCAATGATACCTCTCATCCTTTACGACATCCCGTCCAAACTTGAAGGGAATCATTGGTCTCCCAATATCGCGAAGCCAAGGCAAGTAGATCTATCATGTCTTCCCTCTGATTCAAGCATAACCTGGCCAATAGGTTCGTCCTAGGTTACAAGGGCCTTCCCTTTCGAGTTGAATGGGTGGAGTACCCGGATATCGCTCCGAGAATGAAAGAGATCGGAGCAAGACAAAACAAGCTCGCGGACGGCAGAGACTTGTACACCCTGCCTGTTCTTAGCGATCCCAACACCGGTGCACTGATTACCGATTCCTGGGATATTGCCGAGTATCTCGAGAAGACATACCCCGAGAAGCCCATATTCTCCAACAAGAGCAAAGGTCTCATTCGCGCTTTCGACACTACGGTTGCCAACCTAGAGAAGACTGCCGTCACATTCCGCTTCCTCCGCGTGAGCCAGATCTTGAACGAACCCAGCGTGGAGTACTTCATCACCACGAAGGAAGCATTAGCTAAGGAGAAGATCTCCGAATTCTCTCCTGAGGGACCAAAACGCGATGAGCACTGGGCTATTATTGAGCGTGCAATGGAAACCTGCAAGGAGTGGTACGACAGCGAAGAGGGAAAGTGGCTGATGGGAGACGTCTTTTCCTATGCAGACATTCTCCTTGCATCTCGCCTTTTCTGTTTCAAGAGGGTGTTGCACGACGATGAATGGGAGAAATTCGCGAGCTGGCACGGTGAAAGGTGGGGAACGTTACTCGCTGATGTGGAGAAGGAATGTAATGGGGTTTAGCGAGGACTCGAGAATGTGCAATACGATAACCAGATGAACAAAATGCACCCTAGTATGTATGTATATGGTGAGCTCTGGCACTCGCTGTGTAGTGTCCACCCAGTGTCTGTGGGGCCGTTTTCTGGCTTCATTCTCTTGTTCACTTTGGGTCTCTTGCAGACATCCCCAGGGACCGTCCCCCTCGACGATGTCGACGACAACCCATCTGCCTACTATACACTGCGGACAGGTAAACGCGACACGGTCGAGTTGCGATCATTCCCATATCTCGATCTAGCAAGCAGCTCTGCCAGGTCCATAGCGAGTCAGACGCAGCGTAATCGTCAACTGACTTCTCACAGGCAGAAAACTTCCATGTTGTCACTATCGACCAGTTGGACGTTCTGAACCTCAGAACTGAACAGCGACCTTTGCGTCCTCCTGATCCATATTGCATACTCGTGCTGACGTACCTGCACAGCAGATGTGAGAGGCATATCGCATTCACCGCTAAACGTGTCCCTTCTCTCCCTCCGAAGCTTGCTGTGCCGGTCGTGTCCGGGCGACCTTCACGAGAGTCATTTGCGAAATATACCCTCTCCGAAGCCGGTGCCATTGATATCACTCCCAGACTTTCGGTGGCGTCCTCATCGGCGGGTATGTCTTCACTACTCAACAACCCTCCGAGCGCGGGGTCGCAGCCGCCTTCTCCTTCGTTGGGTCCCCCCGAGCCCATCACGCCCTGGACTGGCACAGCCATCGCGTCCGTATCTTTCGCTTGCACCCTCTATATCCTCGTATACATAATCTCTGAACGTACTCTCAACACTTGATTCGCCCCGATCTTCATACCGCCGCGCATTCCACTCGGTGTTGTCGGGTACGATTCGTCGTTGCTCTCGCGACCACCTTTCTCTCCTCGTTCACGGGCATTCTCAGACGGTGAAGCGGACACACATAAGCTTCATTAGCAGCGTCGCGCGTGTTCACCCTCGCGCTCAGAGAGCACCACCTCATCGACCAGAATGCGGAGCAGAATGGATGTGTTAGCGTTTCTAGAAGGTAGGGCAAGATTGGGATTGCGGGGCCGTGAAGCGTGGAGATGGACGCAGAAAGAGTAACTTTATGAGTATGAGCGACGACAAGGATGAAGAGGGCGATGGCGAGAACAACCGGCAGGATATCATTGTTACTTGCCCTGCGCCGATCTAAACGCCGATTCGGACGAGCGCGTGTCCTCGCGGAAGCGGAGAAGTGTTATCGAGATTGGCGTTGCCTGACTGTAAATCCCCCTTGCGACGTGGTATGATCTTCCCTCCGCCATGTTTCCTACTGTTCACGTTCTATCCAACTGCCCTATTCACTTTACTTAGACAAATGACGGAATGTATCCGAATCCCCCCCATCAATCCCGTTGACTTTTGATTTCCTTAGATGCTTCTGATTGTGGTTTCTTGTGCATTACCCTGCAGAATATCTAGTTTTAGACTCCAGAATCGCATGCTAATATTCCTCTTTCTTTTTCCTTCGACATTTACCACTCTCACACACTTCACATGTCATCTCTTGCAATCTCTAATATGTCCAGTTCTATCTTCCTCACGGTACACTCAATCATGACCAGACACCCGAGCAGTATGGATCGAAGCATGTAATAGTAGTGTCGACTTGACCAACCCATTTCCTGTGGCAGAACGTGAACTCTTGTTGGAAAAAGCCACCACCAGCAGGTCACAGTTGTACTTGGTTATCGATAGGCGCCTTGACATCGGTCAGCGACAGTACTCGAGTTTACTCCACAGTATCTGGAATCTTCCCCAGCGAGTACCCAACCTTGACGAGAGTTTCAATGCTTCCTTGTCCGTTGGCAGCTACACTCTTTCCAGTCGAGTTCAGGGCGAGGTCCTTGTCAAATTCAATGAGCCCCGGTGGGAAGACGGTAATTACAGTGCTGCCACCGTACGCAAAATAGCCAACCTCGTCACCACGTTTTATCTCATTCTGAAACCCCGAGTTAAATAATCGCCACATATCACTGTTCCATGATTTAAATACCGGTGCTTACATTATAAGTCCAGACAATGCTGCCAACCAGGAGTGCGCCGACGGCGACAATTGCAATCGGCTTCTTTGAGACCTCGTGTTCGAGAAGTAAGACGGAGCGCTTGTTTCGGGTGAACACGTCAAGGTTAGGTTCATTGACAGCCTGGGGATTCACTACAGCGAATTTATAGGTGGCTTCTCAGGGTAAGAAGGCGGCGAACTCACCGGTGTAATATTCACCGGGGATATCCCGATGTTCAGTCAGAACTCTTCCATCAACTGGTGAGTGGAAGCGGTGATAATCTGCAGGCGCGAGGCGGAAGATGGCGAGGGAACCACCGCTCAACGCTTCACAAACAGGATCGGTGGGACCGAGACCCAGGAGTGACGGTATAGAGAATTCGTCTCCCTTAATCCAAAACTTCTCTGCGAGACTAATGGTCTGGTATACCACCAGGCGGCAGTCAGCTGCACTGCAGAATCCCCTCGGGTTATCTACGTTCTCAACGGGACGTGCGCCTGGCTTGAGCCTGCGAGAGAAGAATTCATTGAAAGTGTGATACTTGTGGATATCCGGCTCCAGCAGTTCATCCAGCTGGATGTTGTACATCTTGATAAAGGACGGTATATTCTTAGCGGATTCAGGTGAATCGTAGATTTTTCCTTGGTGAATGCTCTGTTCGCGGAGGGTATCTTCGACGAGTTTGTTTCCTTCCAGCAACTTCACCTGTTCCTTCCCATAAAACAGCAGGTGCATGCCCAAGCGTGCGTAGATTGGCATGCTCTCGAAAAACCGTTGGTTCGTGCCTCTGATGGCGACGAAATTGCCGATATGGTACTTCTCGGCCAGGGTCTCGAGCTCTGGGACGACCTTGTGCAGCCACTCAACCCGAGAGTGGGCAAAAGCATGGACGGTGGTCGTGACGTCACCCTTCCCCTTGGAGGGATGGGAGTGTTCTACGAGTTGTCGGAATACATGAATGACGACGTCCTTGTGTACTCGTTGGAGGTTGTCCGGATGGATGTTCTCGATAGGCTTGACGATCTCGACTTCTTCAAGAGACGACATATGAGAGATAACTGCAACTTTGGGCTCATCAGTACCGTGGACATGACTGATTCGACGACTGGCATGTACCGTGTTGTTAATCGCAAGTTGTTGTGAAGGAGAATTTCTAACGTCTTCCCGTCACCACTGTAAGATCAGTTGAAGGTAGCAGTTCAGTGTTTCATGGGCGATGACAGGGCAGAGGCCCCTGATTCAGGACCTCAGATGATGAAGCCCCAGGAACGCGCATGTGGATTAGCAGTTACTATATCGGTCAATCTACGGTGCTGAACTTGTCAAGGTACTATTGTTAGAACCAGTCTAGCGTATTTTCGTGTCGGGCACGGTTGCCAGTCGGTCGCGCCGAGACCAGCAGGCTCTGGGAACAGATCACCTCCCAGCATTGTCCCAGCATCGAAACTTCTTGTGGCGACAAGCTCTCTGACCTTGCTTATCCAAAGCTGCTACAAGCCCCTTGAGGAGGATCACTGAAATTTAAAGATTCCGAGAAAGCAACTTCTTCTTTCATGCTGAACCGTTATGGCTGTGTCAGGCTTCAAAACAGTAACAATAGCACCACTTGTTGGAAATATTACTATATGTTCCGACGTCTAGATTGATCCAGACTTACACGTGTATCAACACGTTGTTCATCACATGACATTCCTTAGCAATCAGCTCCACAATGATGTCATAGTGACGTTATATCATACATCATATTCCATGACCTTCTGCGCTATTCCTTACTATACTGAGTAGTAGTTTCCTTTTATGCTACTGGTCCATGCGTACCTACTCATGTATATAAACTCGGGGATTTCTTCCTCAATCCCCATCGAATCAAGTATTCGTTCTTCACTTGTCTACTCGACAACTGAGCCCCTCAATGCTTAACAAGCCTACTTCAAATCTACTACCGTTCTGAATAAAGGCAAGTGTTCATGCCTAGCTCTTCGTTACTTCCCGTTCCTCTGCGCAATAGGTTATGAGCCCTGCCTATAACTAGGTGGCAAGCTATTTGCGGTATTTGCATAGAGCATTCACTGCCGACGGGCATAACACTATGGATATCGTAGGCCTAGATGCGCTAGGGACGGTAGTAGTAGTTTTTGCTGTCACTGTTGTAGCCGGCCTTAACCAGACTGTGCTTTTACTTCATTATGGTGGACATGACCCGATTTATCTATGGGAGCTTGCCATTCGCTCCGTAGCCTTTTGGTTTTCCTTTCTAGGTCTCTCCGCCTGGTGGCGAAGGCGACAACTCTTGCTACAAGAGCAGATTGTTCGCAGGCTGCTTTTACAGCGCCTTCTTCTTCGTCCACCAACTCCGCCTCCCCATTATCTCCATTTCCATCTTCCTGACATCGACTACGATGCTGATCTTGACCCTGTTCTGCCGTACGACGAGTTGGAAGCGCGTAACCTGCCTTCTCCTCGACGTGCACCGACTCCTCTTCCTGAGGATGTTGCAGCTGTCAATGAGTTGTTTAATCCTAACGTCGTTCTTGCTGTCGCTGAAGACATCGCTGAGTTTGATTTACTCTAAAAACTCGTTTGCTTTGTCGCAGAACAAGGACTAATGTTTTAAAAAGATGTCTCTCGTTGTCACCAAAAAGTTGGAACTCGCTATCGCTGAGCAAAGAGATGGGATGTATGATGTAAAGTGGCGGAAGTATGCGGTAAAGGAGATCATAGAGTATACAGAGATGTTGTATGTACGGGAGTGTTCTAGCTGGCGAGAGGCGGTTCCTTCCTCGGTCGCATTCTTCAAAAAGCCAAATCCTGCAACGTACCTTGTTCCCATCGATACCGTGGAAACAGCGTGGCAGAACATGCCCCACTTTCCTGGTTTCGAATCGCCATACTTTTATCCAGGGCTCCACCTAGCCTTCCATGGCTACCTTACCGATTTTTTCCCTAAACTTTCCCATACGTCGACTCCTCACGCCATAGCTAACTTCAACGGTTGTGATCTTCCCTCAGCATACTATGAAGATCCTGCCCTCGAGTCTATTCCTGCATTCACTGTCACCCATGACACCTTCATCTACGTCTATTATAACGTCCACCCCCTCTATGATCCGTGCTTCAACAGCCTCATCCCTTCTCTCCGCATTTGGAACCAGCATCTTGAGTTCCATTTCCGAGGAACTTGGGTTGACAGATCAACAGACGTCCAATGTGTCCCAAGGTGGTTCCGTGAACGAAGACGCGGAGGAGACTGCTTTGATAGTGACCTCTTTAGGTTTATATGACGGTTTAGGGATATGGCAGATGTGGGAAGTACCCTGCGATATAACTCTTCTAACTGGCATCTTTCATGGGGTCTCGCCCCCTCTGACACAGACTTCGCTTACTGGCCTGGATCAGAAGAGATTTTACGCGATTTCGAACGTTGCATGGCCAACACTACTTTTGATTATCTCTCGGCTCCCCGACCTCGAGGAATTCGCACCACGGCTCTTAGCAGAGCTCGTGAGGCTCACACCATACGTCAGAAACTATCCTCTTCCAAACTCGCTGGACGCACTGTATGTATCAGGTGGCCAAAACCATTGGGCAACTAATACTTGTAATCTTTACGAGTCATACAAATGTATTGAAGTATTAGTTAAGGACTCCCATCCTCGCCATTCTGATTGCCTAAATGTACCATATTCTTGCACCGATCCCTATCTTGGGTTTCGATCAGAGGGAATTCCATTGCATGATTGCAATTGGAGTTTTATGGCATACCATTATTTCCCTCCACTAGACTTTCTAAGTCTAGAGCACAATATTTCTTGCATCTCTTCTTGGAGATTCGCTGAGAAAGGTACAAAGGCACCGGAAACCAAAATGCAAAAGCGAAGGAATCCTCGTCCTTATTTTAAAGCCCATGGTACTCGCAAGCATCGTCCATCTCAAGCTGCTAGAGCATCTGCTCACAGACCCAAAAGGAATCGGCTTCATGACTTGAATCCTCCATCCATTTTAATCCATCCGACTCACTCGTTCTTATATGAACATCTGCTTATGGACTTTTGACACTAGATGTCCGAAGGTCTTTCAAAGCAGATCCCAAAACTCAACGGCCTTAACTATGCCTCTTGGTCGGTTCTTATGAAGGCTTACATGCAAACCCTTGGAATCATGGGAATTGTTGACGGCACCATTGCTCAACCAGGCGCTGCTGCTGGACAGGCTGCCATTGATGCTTGGAATGTCTCTGACAACCGGGCACAAGGCATTCTTACGCTTTACTGCGATCCGATGATCGCAATGTCAATTGATGGACAAGCGTCTGCCCATTTGAAATGGCAGGCACTTAATCAATCATACGGAACTCCTTTGGCGATGACGACTTTTATGGAATTCCAACGCCTTATCCGTATTCAAATTAAACCAAAGGATGACATAATGGCTAAAATCGCTGAGATCAATATGCTTCTTGCTGCCATTACTGCTCAGGGTATCACCCTGAATAATAAGATGAAAGCGCTCATCCTTGTCCATTCAATGACTCAGGCCTGGGAACAAGCACCGGTTAATATTCTGTCCTCTATTGCTGCTGATCAACTTTCTCCTGATACGGTCATACCTCGCATGAAAGAAGTCTGGGCCCATCGTTCGGGCAAAACTATGCTTCCTCAACAGGATAAAGCTGGGTCATCTTCGACCACGGTAAAACAAGAATCTAATTCACTTCTGGCACGCATGAATAAACCCCCTCTTTGCCAAATTTGCAGAGGTGGTCATAATACTTCTGATCATCAATCTGGATCAGGATCAGGATCCTTTCGCGGTTACCATGGAGGTCGCGGAAGAGGTTGCGGAACTCGTGGACGTGGACATGGAGGTTATACTCCCTATACTCCACAACAGCAGCAAGGTTCTGGTTCTCGTGGCCGAGGCCAAAACCGTCGCTGAGGCAAGGGTAAAGCCTGTGCCAACAATTTAGAAGTCGAAGGTGCTGAACCTATCGACGCGGCTTATATAGAGAAACTTCCCGAAGATTCCTACTATGGCCAAAATTCCTATGAACCAGAGTATACTGCTCAGGGTCAGGAATTTTATGAAAATGCCACTGCTGCTTTCGATGCTGGTGATATAGATATCACAGCATTAAATATTCCACCTCGCGAAAATTCTCCTGAATATTCTCTCCTGGATACTACTCCGGTTGAACAAGCTTATTCTGCTGACCTCAATACATATCTCGGGCAACATGTCATAACTGACACCGAGACATATGATCCTGATTTATCCCGCCAAGATATTACTATGGTGATGGAAGCAATTGGGGAATCCCCCAACTATCCAGTTGATGTCACAACCGGAAATCTTGCTCCTTGGTATCTGGAGGAAATTCAAAATTTCCAACCGGATCAAGTTGAGTCAGTACCGATTCGTGTCAACATTCCTAGTTCTAATACTTGCCAATGCTCTATTTGTCGCCGAGTAGCCAAACCTTGCGTCCGACTGGGTCTATCCCTGTCGGAATCACAACAACGGAGCAACTCGGACTCTCATCCGAGGAAGATTTCCCTTCCCCCTGCTGAGCAGGACGGGCCATGTACGAGTGGTTCCCTCAAACCCTCAGTACGAGTGGGAAATTCCGTTTTGGCTGGCGAGAGTATGGTGGAGAACTGGAATGCAAAGGATCATGGCTATGCATCTGAGACGCAACAACAGACTGTTAATCTCTCTTCCCCTCGACTTCGAGGACAGAATTGTAGAGACGGAGGATCTCTCCGAAAATCCATATTATTAAAAGCCGCTAAAAAGCGTGCTAAGCCTATGTCCTTATCTCAATTTCACGAATCTGTGTCAGAATTACCTGTTGTAAAAAGTCTCCGTATAAAGCATAATCCAGACATCGAGTATGATCCCAATGAATCTGCTTCTGGGTATTTACCCTCACAGTTTGATGGTCATGCCTTCGATTCTTATGACTGTTACCCTTTGGGTGTGTCATATGCTAATCTTAAAAAGAACCTTCCAAAGGGTGAGTCACTATGGATGTTGGATTCTGGAGCTTCACATCATGTGACTCCTTTTAAAACTGATTTCCTGACCTTTTGAGAGTTTAAAAATCCACCTTTGGCCTCTACTGCTGGCCTTAAAAAGGTTCAACTTCTCGGTCAAGGAACAGTGGTTATTTGCCTAGAAAATGGCAGTAATCTTCCACTACATAATGTTGTTTACAGTCCTTTGTTTTCAAAGCGACTATGTTCACGAAATGCGCTCCTCAATAACAGGTATAGGAGCACAGCGACTCTTACTAGCGAAACTATCAGAGCACCGGATGGCCGGATTGTCCTTGAAGCAAAAATCGCTTCACCGACTTCACCTCTTCATTGGTTTGTGGGCGTACCGCTTCCACCTACCACTGCCTATGGGGTCCTTTGCCCTCTGGTCAAGGAATCTCAAGAGTCTCTCTGGCATAATCGCATGTGTCACCCTGCGAATGCAGTTCTCCGACATATTCACTGATTAGGTTTAAAACAAGATATACAAATACAGGGGGAGTCTACCTCTTGTAAAGGTTGCGCTCAAGGCAAACTTTCTTCCGAAGCCTTTAAACCTTCCTGGAAACGAGCAACTAAACCTCTCAAGTTGGTCCATGCAGACTTACTTGAATTACCTGTTGAATCTTATTTTCGGTCCAAATATATCTTAACCCTCTTGGATGATTATTCATCTTACGGTTTTTGTCTCTACCTTCGCAACAAATCCGACACTTACACTGCTTTTGCCAATTGGCTGGTGTCTATGCAAAATACTACTGGACATCATCTACTTGTGCTCCGTTCGGATCGAGGGGGAGAATTTATGGGTACCACTTTCAAGATGCTCCTTTCTTCGCGCGGCATTACCCATTATCTTTCTATTGCCGATCAACCTCAGCAGAATGGTCGTGCAGAACACTTTAATCGGACCATTTCCGAGAAAGCTGGGACCATTCAACACCATGCTTGTGTTCCAAAATGCTTCTGGAACTTTGCTTTCGACTGTGCACTTCATGTGTACAATCGAACTCCTCTTAAAAGGATTATCTTCAAGACTCCGGTTGAACTATTCTTAGGAAAAGTCCCGGATATTACCTATTTTCGCACCTTTGGCTGCAAAGCCTTTGTATGGGTTCCTAAAGAACAAAGAAAAGATAAATTGGAACCTCATGCAGTCGAAATGGTATTTTTGGGCTATGAACCCAATACCAAAGGATATCGGTTCTTGCATGGACAAAAGATTATTCTTTCTCGTACTGCAAAATTCATAGAAGACTCTTTTCCTTTTTGCTCTGGTCAAAACAAATCTGAAACCTTTGACCCCGATACCGAAGACGACCATGATTCAGATACTTCCGACTCTGAAAGCCTACATTCACTTCCGGATCCTGATCAGATCCAACCACTGACTCATCACCGGCAACCACCTCGTCCTAATACTCCACCACAACAAAACCCACAGCAGAGAGCTGCGGACCAGCCTAGAGCTCAACAACAAAGAAGAGCACCTGCTGCTGCACCACCAGTCGACCCTCGTCATCTTAGACATCCTCATCAACCTGAATTTATTCAAGGAGACTCGCGCAATGTTTGTAGAGCTTATCCTCCTGCCGATGACAGAGAACCTCGTCCAAAGCGTCGTTTTATACCAGTATCTCGTCCTGGGAATCTCTATGGAGACAGACCCCCAGTAGACATTGAAAGAGATATTCAAAGAAATCAGGATCAAGCACAACAGTGGATTCGTAATGCTGAGCAACATGCTCACAATTCCAGAGAAGATATTCGGAGATATGCAGAAGAACGAAGACCTCCTTCTCCGAGGTTACCTCCTGCACTTGTTCCTCCTGAAGTTCCTCATCAGTGGACTGAACATCCACAAGGAACAACTCCTACATCTCCTGGTTCTCCACTTACTCCGTTACCGGATACTCCTTCTTCGCCTAAAGGCATGCCAGACCAACATGCTCAAATGCCTGGTCCTGAAATGCATCCTTTTGAGTTTGCATTGGCTGCCAGAATAAAAGAATCTCCGGAACATTTTAAAGATGTGCTAAAATTATCTCCCGATATGCAAAAGAAATGGTTTGATGCTATGAAAGAAGAACTAAAGTCAATCGAGGAAAGACAAGTATGGACTTTGGTGGATCCTCCTAGAGATCAGAAACCAGTCAAGTGTCGATGGGTTTTCACTATCAAAAGCGATGGTCGTTATAAAGCTCATCTTGTGGCTAAAGGCTTTACACAAGAATTTGGTATCGACTTTGAAGACACCTTCTCTCCAGTGGCTCGCTTCGAAACTGTTCGCATTTTACTTGCGTTCGCTGCCCAAAGGAATTGGGATACAGAAGCCCTGGATGTCAAAACTGCCTTTTTATATGGCAACCTTGATGAAGAAATTTATATGGAGCAACCAGAAGGTTTCAAAGTTTTGGGTCAAGAACACAAGGTTTATCGGTTGCTTAGAGCCTTATATGGCTTAAAGCAAGCTGCACTGGCATGGAATAAAGCCCTCCATCAATCTTTACTCGCAATGGGCTATATTCGTTCAAAAGTGGATGCTGGAATCTATATTCACACTTCCAAAGCTGGAATCGTCATCTTTCTCATCTATGTCGACGATGGACTCTTTCTAGGATCAGACAAACGTCTTCTTAAAGCCAAGAAGGAACAATTTATGAAGAAATGGGAATCTCGAGATCTTGGTGAAGTCAAGGAATATCTTGGCATTCAAATTCACCGTGATCGATCCAAAAAGGAACTTTATCTCGATCAAATACCTTACGTTAAAAAGGTTATCAAAAGGTTTAATATGGAGACTGCTCGAAATGTTCGCACTCCATTACCTTCAGGATATCAACTGGAAAAAGCACCATCAGATTATCAAGCCACATCATCTCTTCGGTCACAATACCAGTCAATCATAGGGTCATTACTCTATATGGCTCTTGGTACTCGTCCTGATATCGCCTTTGTGGTTATTCGCATGTCACAATATATGGCGAATCCCACCGAAGATCACCGAAATAAAGCCTTGCATATAGTTCACTATATTGCATCTACTTCAAAATTGGCTTTATATTATTCAGGACTTGAATCTCGAATCTATGGTTTTGTGGATTCTGATTGGGCTGCAAATAAAGACACTCGTCACTCTACCACCGGTTATGCTATGTTCCTCGGATCATCCCTAATCTCTTGGCGCTCTCGTAAACAGAAGACGATTGCACTCTCTTCTACAGAAGCCGAGTATATGGCTCTCTGTGATGCTGCATGTCAACTCAAATGGCTGTCTATGCTATTTGATGAACTTAAACTCAAGACCGAAAAGACTATTCTATACTGCGATAATATGGGAGCTCGCTTTATTGCTGAGAATCCTGTATCGGACGGTCGTTCCAAACATATCAACGTCCAATGGCACTTTGTTCGCGAATGTGTTCAAGATAATTTGTTCAGTATTGAATACATTCAAACTGACAAACAAAAGGTGGACGGTCTTACGAAATCTTTAACGTGGCAGAAATTTGAAACTAATCGCTCGTCAATGGGATTGGTTACTCTCCCATTCTAGAGCGAGGGGGAGTGTTGGAAATATTACTATATGTTCCGACGTCTAGATTGATCCAGACTTACACGTGTATCAACACGTTGTTCATCACATGACATTCCTTAGCAATCAGCTCCACAATGATGTCATAGTGATGTTATATCATACGTCATATTCCATGACCTTCTGCGCTATTCCTTACTATACTGAGTAGTAGTTTCCTTTTATGCTACTGGTCCATGCATACCTACTCATGTATATAAACTCGGGGATTTCTTCCTCAATCCCCATCGAATCAAGTATTCGTTCTTCACTTGTCTACTCGACAACTGAGCCCCTCAATGCTTAACAAGCCTACTTCAAATCTACTACCGTTCTGAATAAAGGCAAGTGTTCGTGCCTAGCTCTTCGTTACTTCCCGTTCCTCTGCGCAATACCACTAAGCAGGGAAGGAAGAAAGTCGGGATACAATCCGTCCATAGTTTGCGAAAATGAGAAGCGAACGCGCTATCATATCATGATTCCTCATCAGATGAGGCAACAATGGGTATGAATCGTTTCGTCTGAGGACGCCCAAGCTTAAGATCGAGAATCGACAGAGCGTCAAATATCGTAAAGCATGCAATCGTAAGGTACGCACCAGTGTCATTTGGGTACGGCGGTCACGCAAGCTCATAGATTTAGGTGGCGTCCGCGTCGACGAAACCACGCGCCGGTCGGAGGTGAGAGGGCTAGATCGCGGCGGAAGCGCCGAATCTAAGGGATGATTGGGTGGCCTGACAGGATTGTGAGAGGGGATGACTCTTGGAAGAATCCAGAAATCCTTTCGTGCTTGGGACTCGGTGCTATTGAATGCCGGGGATGATCCTGCACCGACGGTAGCTGAGGGACAGGGTGGCATAGGAGCCGAGGCGTCAGAAAGGGGTGATGAGGATATGGAAATCACGCTCGGAAATGTTTTTGGCGCGTTTCTTTCCAGAACAGTGCTGCGCTCTGACTCCGCCTTCTCATTATCTGGTTTGGACACAAGCAATTTGGGCGTCGAATTCCTGGACCGCATATGAGAAGTATCCTCAGAGCTAATACTTGTGAAATGACGGGGCGCGAGCGATAAATTCTCGTTGGAGGTTGTAGCAGGCAAGCGAGGTGCGCGAACGGCACGTTCCGGAGCTGGGCTGAGACGTATTCTCTTTGGAGAGTGAGTAGAACAAGTGGCGTTTCCGGTGGCTTTCGAACGCCCTTCTATTTCGTGGAATGTGTTAGTACGTTTCCGTGGCGTAGTGTTGGGTTGCTTGGATGTTAGTTCACGACCCATCGGAGGCTTTGGTTGCGCATGATCCAATGTAAGACACGGGATGGCGTTTTTAATGGTGCCAATGCTCGTCCCAAGATTAGCCTCAGCACTCGATACAGCGTCTGTCAGAGAGGATTTTAATTGGTCGAATTGCGAAGGCAAATTTTGCAGCAGCTGTAAGAGGGGCAACACAGCGTTCAATAGAGCGCTTTGATGTGCTTGAATCGCCTTTTGTTGGTCCTGAATCGATTCGAATGCACTTGTATGCGACTGAACTAGCTGCTGGGATGGACTAGAGTCGCAGATGCTATAACCGATACCCAGTCGAACTGACCGTTTGCAGTGCGTCTATGCGTTTTTCCAGTGCCCGAATGCTGTTTTCTGTAGACACTTGTGACGCGTGCGTAAGCTCCAACGCATGAGCTTGCGCAGGGGTTCCCATATGTGACTTGAGTTCGTTCTGGGATCGGCAGGCTTTTAGGGAGAAATGGTAAGTGCGAGGACTAGGGCCACTGCAATATCGTACAGATGTCAACCATCTCCGTGACTACCCTGTCGCGCTCATGATCCAGTAACTTGTTGGCGTTGATGACTTGGTTCCTGCAGTCGTCCACCCTTGTCATAAGTGTATCGAGTCTCCCGGAGAATTTCTCCAATGTAGATTGAGTGTCGTATATGAGCATGCGCATAGACGTCCCAGTCGCGTCTTTTGGTGCCAAGGGTGGGATTATCGGTGGCGTCGGGTCTTGACAGATGGTATTTTTCTGGAGGATGTGGGCCCACAGCGCATTCGCCGCCATGTCTAGCGAGTGAACAAGAGACAGGGGTGAGCGCTTACATAACAAATAGGAATAATAAATAATAAATAATTCTAGCAACAACTCGTTTCGATCGAGTGACCTCGGGGTTATGAGCCCCGCGCGCTTCCTCTGCGCCATGTTGCTGTGATATCTCCGGGCACCGAGATGATGATAAGCAACTGCTTGCCCGCCAGTTGCTGGGAATACAATATATAGAGATACTTCAATTATACCACTAGGGAGGTCGATTAGTCGCTAAGTTCTCCGCCACCTGCAGACTCCATAACCCTATCTCATCGTGGGGAATCTTATTCCATCTGGAGTAAACCTGAAAGACGGCTCAGTACGAAATGTATGCATGGCAAGATCGAAGAAGTACCTCGTCCGCGTGCTTCAATAGTTCTCGTATTCGTTCCTTAGCTTCGCGATCGCTCTGTGCATACTTCATAGTCTCCTCATATAGGGCAATGTTCTCTTCCTCGAGCTGCCACTTGGCGTCAGACAGAAGTGCCGCGGGACATAGCCTCGATGCTTGCCTTGTGCAGTGTCTCTTTCAGTCTTTCTCTTTCTGCCTGCAATACCGGAACCGTGCGGGCACGTACTGCAGCCCGAGGATCCAAATCTTCTTTCCATAAATCCTTCCTGTCGACTTCTCCACGTTGTTTTCTGGCTCGTGCCTCTGTGACTACTGCGTGTAGCGTGTTGATGTTCTCTCTGACGTTGTAATCCTTGAACAACCGTTCACAGCTTGCCTGGAGTACAACTTAAGTCTCGCGAAATAGAAATACTCGACGCACTGACATGCACTTGGTCTTCCATGTGCCGGGATATGGTGTTAAATATTCCCTCCGCGCCATGTGGCTCTTCTTTGCACCACAGCGCGAAGCACTCCTGGAAATCCTCGTATCTTCCCGCGGTTAGACGGACAGACAGAGTACTTCGATAGCTCATAACTTACGTCCACTTGTGCGCCGCTCTGTTTATTGCCAGCTGCAATGCGGAATGAAAATGTGTCCATCTTTTTGTGTCTTGTGTTCCTATCGCCATGATTTGTAGTCGACCTCAACGCGACCGCGTAGATTGCCTTGAAGGGAAGTCACGTGCTGCCGCGGCACACTCACCTGCTCAGCGAGCGACTCAGCGCCGAGCTTCAATCGCTTTCATGCCATGGACCGTGATGATGAAGCCGAGAATGTGCAGACTGCGATGAGGCCGCAGCTGCAGCAGAGGAGCTCCATTCCATCCTTTGTTCTTATTATCTTTATGCTTTTCCTGCTCATGAACCACAGCGGAGACGAGTTCTTGGCTCGGAATCATCACTACGATGCGTTACGCTCTCTTACTTATCAGCTGTCCAATTTTACGAATTGGATGAACGGATCCGATACCAACTTTTCCATGGTACGTGCGCACCTTAGTCGTCGAGTCGAGGTTAACGTCCAAACCTTGGCACAATCAGCCCGATCGAAATCCCTCACTTCGGTCTCTCGTCGAGTCACACTTGACACTCGGGTCTCGTTTGGACCCATCTAGTGCTTCATACTTTCCAAATATAACTAGGTTTATCCGCGGGGAAATCGACTTTCACAACATCACCCTTCCGAGCTTGAATGACACCCAGGCTCCCTGGACGTCGCACGCCGAATCGTATATGGCAAACATGAACATGACGGAGATTGTAAACTACTTAGGCACGCAGGATTGGAAAGCAACACGAAAAATGGCATGGAGTGTCATCGACCGTGCGGCTGTAGAAGAAGGTGTGTCAGACAGGCTGGCAATAGCTCATGTGCGATAATTCCATCTTGCTATCTTTGGTCCATCTGTCTGAGGATTCCGTACCTAGGGAAGAATTGATTTTGTTGATGCGACAAGCGGTAACGGGGTGCGGCTTGATTTTGAGGGTGTCCATTTCATAGCCAATGGTTCGGTATATGGCTTTGCTGAACTTCCCGGGTAATTAGTCTTTCGTCGTCATATTGGCACTTCCATTGGCTTATAGGCTTTCAGACATCATATCGACATCAGGTACCTCCCGGCAATCGTACCCGAGGAGTCACAGAATGGAACTACTCTTGTCGTGCGAAATGAACTTCAGTCACGGATAGACAAAATCAAGACCATGATAGACAATGGGGTCATTGACCAAGAGCCTTCGGAAGGTTGGTGTGGAGTATTTTGTCCTTGGACTCCGTTCATGATGTGATAGCCAACAGTGGAGTTCATAGTGATTGTGGATTTTTAGTATATGCTCAGATCGAACCGTCCCTAATCTCTGAAGAACTCATGACTGACGTTGAAAGCGAGCTACAATCGCCAACGGGAAAATGGACACCAAATGTTTCCCCCTTCGCGTCAACGGTGTCCTGCTGAGTAGGGAATGTGGCATGCTCTTTCGGTTCCATCATGCTGAGGGACAAAGGTTAGCGGAGGTGCTTCTTGTTTGTTACTCGTTAATCATTCAACCCTCTCATAGAACTCAGACATTTCTCCGAAGAGTCATTAACTGTAGGTTGCCTTACTCCCTACAAGGAGATTCGTTCTCATCGGCAATGGTACAGATGGGAGTATTTCAGGAGTTATCTCCCTCATGATGCTCGCTCTATCGTGTCGTCACGTTGACCGTACACATAGTCCTGCTGCTCTTCAACGTCTGTCGGTCTGGACTTTCTACACCCAGGCCATCGTCGACGCGGTTTCTCTCGCTGCACACATCACTTTTGCTATCTTGGCACATGGAACACCCTCGCTCGCGTTGATTATCCCAGCTTTCGCCTCCTCTATAATTTTTTCCATAGAAGCGGTAAATCTTTTACGCTGCCTCTGTTGCCGTGTTTGACGTCTCGCTATAGCACCATGCAACCCTTATCAACCAAGTCCAGGCCCCAGGAGATGCACTTAATACTACTATACCCCCACCGAGACCTCCACAGCCGGCTCTACAGGACAATGGACCAGGAGCTGAAACTGCCCAGTCAGCACAACGTCCTCAAACACCCCCTCCGCTCACGGCCCGTTCCTTCCTGACTGCTTTTGCCCGGAATTTGTATTCAGACCCACAGGCACGCATCTGTACGTAGGCTGATTATTACCTGTTACTTGTTTGGCTGACTGTACTAACGGATTGGATTACTTATCTGTCTCACATTCATCGTCTGCGCAATCGTGTCGCCTTCGCTGGCTCTTTTTTTCGTCGGATCTATGTATTCGTTATTTTGGCTGTCACAGATCGTTCGCTCCGTCAGATGTGGGAGGAGCAGTTCGTTGAGTGCCGAGTACCTCATTGGCATGTCAATATGTAGGCTGTGGTTCCCTTTCTGTGAGTCTGTTTTTTTCGTCTGTCTTGCTGGTTCTAACAAAGCTATAGATTTTTTGGCGAATTCGACGAAGGTATTGGATATAGAGCCACGACGTGAGTGTTATTCTGAGCGCTGTGCATAGTCTAACCGTCTCTATAGGATGGGTATACTCCCTCGCTGCGTTCGTTCTGTTCCAAGTCGGTGTGGTTCCCCTACAGAAGTCCCTTGGCCTCGCGTTCTTTCTGCCGAAACGGGTTTGTATTCTCATCCCCAAACGCACTGCTTTTTCCTCCGTATCTGACGTCTCATCTTTTTATATAGTTCGCTACGGCACAAATGTATGACTACCATCCCCCAATGCCGTCAAACATGCACGACCCCGAGGCACCGGGCCAGCTACTTGGCGACTGCTCCATTTGCATGGAGGTAATCCATGTCGAGGACTCGAAACAATTGCAGCAGGTTACTGGCGGGCTGCTGCAAAAGGTAGGCGTCAAGAAGAGTTATAGTGTGGCCCCGTGTCACCATATTTTCGTGAGTTCGATGCCACTGGTGGTTGTGGTACTTAGTGCTCAACACAATCCTACAGCATATGGAATGTCTTGAAAGGGTATGTCATTTGAGGTCCTCTGTTTTGTTCTCCAACTTCATGATGTTTCTATCCTCCAATACAGTGGCTTGCTCTCAAGGTAAGCATAATCTTGTGTATTGCACACTTGACAGAAACTGCTCCTTCTTTGTCAGGAGCACCCCCAACCCTCAGCACTCCTCTTTGAGTGTTGTAGCTTGCAAAAACCCACCCAAATCAAAGGTTCTACCATCTAGGTACTGCATAGGCACACCACCACTTGCTCTTTTTGTCTTTTGGGTTGGTTTTGGTTGGTTTTCACCACTGAACCACACTTTGACTCACAGCACAGAGGATGGGCTACAGTACAAAGAGCAAAGACAAGAGCACTTGCCTTATAACTTGAGTTAGCAAGTAGGTTTTGGGTAGAGTTTTTAAAGGCTCTTGTTCTTGGTAGAACAGTAGAATGAATATAGAATTTGATAAGTAACCAGGGTCAAAATCCCTGAGTTTATATACATGTTTCCATATGCATGGACCAGTAATGTATATGGAAACTGTTACTATGTATAGTAAGGAATAGCAGGGAATGCTATGGAATATGATGCAATGAGTGATGTCATTATGACATCACTGTGGAGCTGATTGCTAAGGCAAGTCATGTGATATAACACATGTATCAAAACATGTACATCAGTAAATTCAGCCAAATTACAGCATGCACATTAGACAGTTTTTGAATGCTTAGCTTTACTGATGTATGTCTAGATGAATCTAGATGTTGGATATATTATGATATTTCCAACACTTCATCCTCAACATCCCCCATCGAGCCCACATCCTCAACACAAATGGTCAGTGCAAGCCGCATCTCCTCTCCCCCAGGGCAAGTAACAATTATATCCTGTCGGTTGCTCTTGCTGTCACCCTCTTTGTCCTCACCATTGCTCATACTCATGAAGTTACTCTTTCTGTGTCCACCTCCACACCCATGGCCCTGCAATCCCAATCTTCCCCTCCATTCTACTCTGCATTCTGGCTGATGAGGTGATACTTTCTGAGCATGCAGGTGAAGACGTGTGACACTGGTGATGAAGCTTATGTGTGTCCACTCCACTGTCTGAGAACACCAGTGAATGAGGAGAGATGGGTGATGGTGAGAGCAATGATGAATCATACTCAACAAGAGGAACTGAGTGAGATGTGCTGTGAGTCAAAGTGAGGTTCAGTGGTGAAAACCAACCAAAACCAACACAAAAGACAATGAAAGCGAGTGGTGGTGTGCCTATGTGGTACCTAGATGGTAGAACCTGTTCTTTGGGAGGGTTTTTGCGAGCTACAACACTCAAAGATGAGTGCTGAGGGTTGGGGATGCTCCTGACGAAGAGGGAGCAAGAATGTGATAGAAAGCAATAGGGTAGACTGCTGTCAGCCTACAGAAGGATGGATGGTGACTTAATTCGATGTCCTAAGCTGCACTGAGCTTAGGGAGGGCTTGGGGCGAAGTATATGGATGATAGATGATGATAAGCAAAGTAGATGATAGCTAGACCCTTAATAAAGTCTCAACTATCGAAGCTGATGAATGATTTACTGAGAGATGATAAATTGCAAGCAAGAGGGGCTCTCTGATGTCTTTTTTTTTTTTGCTACCTAAGTACAGTGACTTATATACAGTACAGGGGCATTGCCTATGGAAGACAAGGTGCAAACACTTGGTAAGTGATTGGTAACTGATGAGTAAGGAATGTAAGCGATGGGTAATCGTCTTGGAAAGCATTGGTAAGCATTGGTAAGGATAAGTAAGCCAAAAAGCGAAGAATCAGTAAGCAAAGTCAAAAGATTGGTAAGTATTGGCAATAGGTGAGTCAAAGACAGTCAGAATGTCAAAGTATGAGTCAAGCAATGTCAGGAACTAAGAAAGCGCACTGGAATTGCATTAGGGGGAGGCTGTGCATGTCACATCTTGAAGAGATTGCTTCTAGGCCAAAGTGGGATGACAGAGAGGCAGCACTGATCTGATGCCGATATAGTACATCCAAAAGTGGACAGGGTGAGTCAGATGTCAACAGGGGTCAAGCTTTGGGGGTCTGTGGGGTGACAGGAGCATAGGGGATCACAACTTTCCCCCCCAAACCATCCTCTCAGTGAAGCAAATAAAAACTTCATGAATGAGGCTCTGTTGGAAGAGAGGATGAAGGGGGAGTGTCTTCTGCTGTATCTTGCAACAAGGAGGCAAGATGTGCATCATACTTGTCATGGATGCGATCAGGGAGAGTGGAGAACAGTAGATTATACTGTAGCTGTCACAATTTTGGAAGAATGATGGACAAGACTGGTATGAAGATGTTGCAGGGGGCAGGGAGGAAGGATCCATATGCTTCTTGGACTGGAGAGACTGAAACGACCACATAAGACCTTTCCAAGTGAATGACAGACCTGAGGCGACCAAAGAACATCCTCCTGGAGGTCATACTGACAAAAAGAACACACTGTCCAAGCTGGATGGGCTGAGAGGGGGCAGATGAGGGTGGGATGTACCAGGACGCTTCAGGACGGTGTCACACACCAAAGGTGTTTGGTGAGGTGGACATGGATGTAGCTGATGAATGGAGGTGAAGACCATAGCCCTCATGTGAAGAAGGACAGCCAGCAATGTTGACAGTCATCCCTCGCACAAGAACAGGTTGTCAATGCCAAAGAAAAAGGAGGAGGCAGGTTAAGCACCAATAAAATTCTTAAGCACCCGTGTATGGCATTCTGGTTTTTGACGTATCTCCACCAATTCTGCAGACACCGAAACCATTCCCACACTCACTTGTAGTGCTCAGCCACATGATCCTACCTTCCAAGATTGGAAAGGATTTGTGCACTCCATACGTTTCTACAGCACTCCCTCCAAAAGACACTCATTTCGCTAATTCTTCTGATATGGCTGCCTCCACATCAGTCATTTTGCTTGTCCCCTTTGCTAGGGACCATGGCTACATATATCTACCAGGAGTTCCTACCAGCTTCCGTCCTGAAGCGTCCTGGTACATCCTACCCTCATCTGCCCCCTCTCAGCCCATCCAGCTTGGACAGCATGTTCTTTTTGTCAGTATGACCTCCAGGAGGATGTTCTTTGGTCACCTCAGGTCTGTCATTCGCTTGGAAAGGTCTTATGTGGTCATTTCAGTCTCTCCAGTCCAAGACGCATATGGATCCTTCCTCCCTGCCCCCTGCAATGTCTTCATACCAGTCTCGTCCATCATTCTTCCAAGATTGTGACAGCTACAGTATAATCTACTGTTCTCCACTCTCCCTGATCGCATCCATGATGAGTATGATGCACATCTTGCCTCCTTGTTGCAAGATACAGCAGAAGACACTCCCCCTTCATCCTCTCTTCCAACAGAGCCTCATTCATGAAGTTTTTATTTGCTTCACTGAGAGGATGGTTTGGGGGGGAAAGTTGTGATCCCCTATGCTCCTGTCACCCCACAGACCCCCAAAGCTTGACACCTGTTGACATCTGACTCACCCTGTCCGCTTTTGGATGTACTGTATCAGCATCAGATCAGCGCTGCCTCTCTGTCATCCCACTTTGGCCTAGAAGCAATCTCTTCAAGATGTGACATGCACAGCCTCCCCCTAATGCAATTCCAGTGCACTTTCCCAGTTCCTGACATTGCTTGACTCATACTTTGACATTCTGACTGTCTTTGACTCACCTATTGCCAATACTTACCAATCTTTTGACTTTGCTTACTGATTCTTCACTTTTTGGCTTACTTATCCTTACCAATGCTTACCAATGCTTTCCAAGACGATTACCCATTGCTTACATTCCTTACTCATCAGTTACCAATCACTTACCAAGTGTTTGCACCTTGTTTTCCATAGGCAATGCCCCTGTACTGTATATAAGTCACTGTACTTAGGTAGCAAAAAAAGAAAGACATCAGAGAGCCCTTCTTGCTCGCAATTTATCATCTCTCGGTAAATCATTCATCAGCTTCGATAGTTGAGACTTTATTAAGGGTCTAGCTATCATCTACTTTGCTTATCATCATCTATCATCCATATACTTTGCCCCAAGCCCTCCCTGAGCTCAGTGCAGCTTAGGACATCAAATTAAGTCACCACCCATCCTTCTGTAGGCTGACAGCAGTCTACCCTATTGCTTTCAATCACATTCTTGCTCCCTCTTCATCAGGAGCACCCCCAACCCTCAGCACTCATCTTTGAGTGTTGTAGCTCGCAAAAACCCTCCCAAAGAACAGGTTCTACCATCTAGGTACCACATAGGCACACCACCACTCGCTTTCATTGTCTTTTGTGTTGGTTTTGGTTGGTTTTCACCACTGAACCTCACTTTGACTCACACCGGGGCATGATTGACACAGCAAGCTTAGGAGGGAGAGGAGGAACACATTTAGGGGTGAATGCGATATGCCTCTCACATCTGCTGTGCAGGTATGTCAGCAAGAGTATGCAACGTGGATCAAGAAGACACACAAATTGCTGTTCAGTTCTGAGGTACAGAATGTCCAACTGGTCGATTGTGACAACATGGAAGTTTTTCGCTTGTGAGAGGTCCATCGACAACTATGCCATGTCTGAGCCACTACTGACCCGGCAGAGCTGCTTGCTAGCTCAAGATACAGGGATGACCGCAACTTGACCATGTCACACCTGCCTGTCCATAGTGTAAAGTAGTAGGCAGATGGATCATTGTCAAGGTCATGCAGGGGGGCGGTCTCTGGGGATGTCTGCAAGAGACCTCAAGTAAACATGGGAGATTAGCCAGAAGACAGACACTGGATGGACATAGCACAGCGAGAGTGAAATGGTGAAGAAAGGCTATGCATCAGGGGGGCAGGGAATGGTGGAATCACAGTCAAAACCAGTCAGTGACAGATTTAAACCATCTATCTGCTTACTGATGCAGTGACTGCAGCCTGGATGAATTACGGAGTAAATGGCACACATCCTATTGTACAGAGAAAATCATGGCAAACAAGATGAAACACAAGATTGCAAGACGAGCGAGATAGGTCAGGAGAAGGAAAGGGTAACTATGAGAATCAGCCTACTGACAGGAACAGGTTGACCACCATCTCACCAGGGCTGTGGGTGGAAACTTCGCCTGCAGGGGATGGAGCTGTAATTACTGAAAGGTGGCTGAAAGCTTTGGCCATAGATGGTAATGGTGACCACACCAAG